CGGGGGGGTGTATAGGTAATCAGGATTTGGTCTGAGTCTCGAATTTTGACCAAGAAGGTTCGGGGTTGACTTTTTTAATTTCATTAAAGATTGAACCTTTTTCACTCATGGGTAGTTTCTAAAACTTATTTTTGATTGTTTGAATGATATGTGACTGGATTCGGTTAGTTTGGATGCTCGTTCTAAAGGAAAAGTCGTGGTTGATTATTGATTTGGTTGCTAAAAGTGGTAAGTGTCGTGTTTAACCTTGACTTGGGGAAATTAAGACTTGTTGGTCTATTTGTTACGTGAATTAAATGTGAAAACGATGTATATGCATAGTGACGAGTGTATATGCACTGTCATAGGTTAATACATGCGGGTTGGGCTATTTATCATTATGTCATCATTTATTCTATGTTATATCTCACTACATGATTTGATTACTACATGTCCTTACTTGTTATTCGTACCTTATTTGTTATCTGTCATTTGGCTTTTACCTATTTGAGTTTATTCATTCCTCGAACAATATCTACTTACCTGCTATATGTTCCTACCTGTATTAATTGTATATCTTTATTGTTTCATGCCCTTACTTTCCTTTATTGCCTTTACCTTACTTGTTGCACTTAATTATGTTCTAATCGATTGTGTGAGTCCTTTGGCTATTCTTGCCATAATGACTTGTCGAGGTTTGTAAATATGAGATGTTGGCTGTTCTCTGTTGAAGTTCATTGGTGTTTTGTACGTTTTAGTACCATTTTGTGTTGAGATTTTGGAATTGGTTGTGTTGAGTTGTTAATGATAGTGAATTAATATTGGGAACGAGTTCCCCCTCCCCCCTAACAAAAATGAAAGGATTTGATAATGGGATCGGGTTGCATGCCACAACAGATATCGATATAAAATTGGGATTGGGTTACATGCCGCAACAGATATTGTAATGATTTTGGGATCAAGTTGCGCGCCGCAATGGGGTATGATGTGTTGTAACTCTTGGTAGTTGTGGTGTTCTATTTATGTACTGTGATATGAGGTTATGAGTTAATGTTATTCTGGGGCCCTATGTTAGTTGACCTTCGGGTCCCGTTATTATGAGTTTATTCGCTTTCTCTATATTTCTATTGCCTTTTATTTATCATCCGTTCAGGTTTATAGTGAGTGTCTTGTCATAGCCTCGTCACTACTTCATCAAGATTAGGCTCGATACTTACAGAGTACATGAGTCGGTTATACTAATACTATACTTCCTCACTTCTTGTGCAGATCTCGGTGTTGGTCCTGGCGGCGCATAGAGGAGATTGCTCGTATCCAACTCATTCAGGAGACTTGAGGTAGAGCTGGACAACATTTACAGTCCTTGAAGTCCCATTATATCATGTTTTACTTTTTACCTAGTTTCAGACAGTTGTATTTGTTAACGACCAATTTTGACCCTCCCCATTTAGTTAGTTTATTTACACTTATTAATCAGCAATAAATGTAGTAAAATATTTTTAAATCAATAATACTTATTTTCTTAAGATATAAATGATATAGTACATAACAATAATGAGAAATAATAAATTAATTATAATTTTGTCTTAATTATTTATAAATTATGCTATTCCTACTGTTTTAATTAATTAACATAACATTCGTAGTATTACCAAAAATGTAGTCTCAAAATTATAATTATATTATCTTAATTACTTTAATTAGCCGAAATTTGTTTTTACAATTTAATAAGCGAGGTATTAATTTCAATAACTAATTAATTATATTAATAAATAAATAATGTATTTGATGATTATATTTTATTGTATTTAATTAGGATTATTTAAATCTAATTAATTTAATTATAAAAGGAGTTAAAAACTTAAATATTGCAATTTTCTAATTAAACTCAATGTGGCTACAATTTAAATTCCTACTAGTTGATTTAGCCCAAACATCCCAGGCCGAGTGCGCCTGACTCGGTCCGAAACCCACCCTTTCATCCAAGTTGGCAATCCATGCCACTCATTCTAAGCCAACCAAAAGGCGACATGTCACCCCTCTTCTACACTCACAAAAGAAATACAAAATGATCTGGACCGTTGATCTAATTCATCAACAGTCCACAATCAATCCCCATTTTTCTTTTATCTTTAGACCTTCGCCGGATCTCATCTCAACCGTTGGATCCAACGAACGCTATTATCCCACAATAAACCTTTATCTATTTTCCTAAACTCCAAATTTGTCTCTTCAATCGCGAATCCCGCCTGAATCCTTCCCATTTCATCGCTAAAATTCAAAACCCCAAATCAAAAATGCTAGACCTAAACTATGCAACCTGGAACTCAATCGTCTTTTCTCTGTTCCCTCGAATCGGACCATGCATGGCCATCGATCTTCAATCTCATAATAATTATTCATTGTCCAAAGGTCAAATACAGTAATCTCTGGAGATGGAGCTTTGACCGATGGTCATTCACTCTTCAAATGTTGACTCCTCTTTCCTCGTGACAAGGTAAAATCTTCATTATTTTTCCTTTTGTTGTTTTCTGATTTCACCCTCCGTACTAGCATCATCCATCTATCTTCATTCTCTACTATCGATTTGAACTCAAACGGAACTTCAAGGCTTGAAAGCCACTATAAATAGGGCATTCAATGTTCACACCCCTAATATCACTAGAAAATACACTGAAAACATAAAGAAGAGCATTAAAAATCTGAGAGTTTTCTGTTGTTCTAAGTACACAGAAATTCCCTTCTAATCTCCGTCTTCTCTTTTTTTTTCGAGTTCAATTGCTGTATTTTTGTTTTGAGTTTGGTTTCCATAAATTGCTATTGAACACTCCTCTACTTGTTTTGCTACTCCACAAAAGGTCACTGTACACTTACCTCTTCTCTTTTTCCTAAATTAGTTATGTAATTCTATGTTTAGGCCGTTTACATTGATAATAACTAATTGTGCATGCTAATATGTGGCTTTCACTATGTCTTGTTATTCATGTTATTCTATTTCTTCTGAGATTAATGATATTTCCTTATAGTTATATTGCATTGGTGTTGTTATTTAATCTGTGATGATCATTGAGCTTTAATTCTCACGTCTTAGTTAGTTAAGATGATTTTGCACTGCTGTTATCTTTATGAATAAAATCTTGTTAAGCCTTTATGATTAGTTGAGCTAAAACCTTATGTTGTTGTTATGTTTAAGCCACCCCTTTTAGTTAGATTATAGCCATATGAGCACTATTATGTTAGCTAAATCGATTGAGTTATGCTTCTTCTGATGTCCTATTAAGACTTCACATCTATTTCACTATGCTCATCTTTATGTTTGTGATGTTATGCCAGATTGTTTTAGTTCAATAAAAATGATTCTCATTAATGCTCATGTCTTACATTTGATCTGGCAGTTTTTTTGTGGAAACCATGTTTGCCTCGTACATTTAGTGATTCATGTAAATCTATCATTGTAGTTTGGAATCATGTGGTGAACATGTTAGCATAGCTATCACACAACTTGCCCATTTGTTGTGCCTTGATCAGCCTTGTCATTACTCGCTATCTCCTTATTGTTTTAGCGCTATGATGTAGTTGTATGTCACTTATATTGCTACATTGACTGAGTGACACTTATTTGACTTTCACGCTTGTGCCCACACTTATCATGCTACTTTTGCTAGTCCAGTGATGTTCATGAACCATGCCCTTTAGTTGAGAAAGTTCATGTTTAAACTACTATGTTCCTTATTAAAAACTTCTCTTGAATATTGTCTACCTTAATAACTTAAGTTAATGATGCTGAACATAAGATCTAAAATGGAAGTCTGTTGGTGTAATCAGCGAGTAAAATCACTCACATGTTTAAGTAAACTGGATGTGATCTCTTTGCCATGTTCTCACCCACTAAGAATGAATATCCCTACTTACTATCTCATGTCTGGTTGATATCATTGTTTATAAAGAACTTAATCATGAATCTGGAGTTGTTTGGATTTAGTAATTTAGAAACCTGATAGACTACAACTAGATATCATGCCATTAGGTCTAAACAAGACTAAAACTAACCTTTTTATTTACATTGATGTCTCTGTTGGTTGTTATCATCTTTAGGAAGTATGAACAAGGTTGTTAATTCAAGTGTTTAATGAAAGAAGGTCTCAACTATGTAAACTATTCTGGAGATTTGTTGAAATGCCTGTTGACCTGCTCCAAGTAATCTGAATCTATTTAAAGAGCCTAAAGTGCTAAACCTTTAGTATAATTAATAAATCCAGTGTATATGTCCTTCTTTGTCACTTACTGATGTTTGGATCACTTAATAAGGCATTTATGAATTAGTAGTGGTTAGAGACAATAACTATCTATTAAAAACATGCAACCAGTCTTATTCATAATATGACTGCCTTTAGTTCCTGTTCTTTTAAGTGTTCTGATCAACCTCAAAGCCTCTGATTTTATTGGAACATTAGAAGCTTAGTTATAGTGATCTAGCTTTGTGTTTAGTGCTCTGACAAAATGTCCTAAGATCAGCATTATGTTGCCCATGTCTTTAATGATAGTTGTAATGTCCTATATAGTTTTTTGTTTCAAGTTATCAGACTTCTGTGTGTTTGAATTTCTGAAAGGTTTACATGAACTTTTATGTTTACTTCTACCATACCGACAATGTGAAACTACTAAGGTGACACTTCATTTGTGTCTAAACCTTTGAGGAGGAGTAAAAATTCAATGATTAGGGATATATGGGTGTGAGTCTGGTTTTGTGATTGAGGCACCCCTTCCTGGCACAAGCACTATTCTGGGTCCATGAGACCCTTGTGAACTCTGAAGTATCAGGGGTCCATATGGGAATTTCATAAATAAGACATGGTTCACCCTAAGCCTTTTCTCATTCGACCTTAACTAATTTTCATAGGGTTGGCATGAAAAAAAACTAAAATCATACTATGTCTTTTCAAATCTCTTACTTACATGTCATAATTTATTTTGTACCTTATATTTATATGTACTAATTTTTTCCCTTTCATTATTACCATGCATGTTCGAATTGGGCATGTTGAGTCCTTTTGGAACTCAGGCCCAACTTTTAGACTTGGGCAGCTTCCTCTACTTTCCTGCTTATTGGAGTCTACTGCAGATTTGAATTCCGTTGGGCTTGGCTTGCTTACTGGCCTAGTTATTAAAGAGTCCAACTCTCATTTCCTTGATCTTTTAATGATAGCAGTTATTTTTTGTTGCTTCTGTGTATATATATCTTTGGAAAACTAACACTGATTATTGGATGTTTGTTTGATTAGGCAAACCAAGATTTGTAGGGAAAAAGGATAAGCTAGATTATAAGATTCACTTGCTTTTGTTATTTTAACGTTTTTGAGATTTAACATTTAAAACTAATCTTTTCAAATAAATAAATAGTTTTACTTATGATACTACTAACAATTTCAGTGATTTCAAGCTTTGGCAGATTCAAGAACGAAAATGAATCCTCTTTGGAAAGTCAATCTGATAAAGTCGCGCATATTATAAGGAAATGTTTAAATAAATAACAACAACCATACAACAAGGAATGAATACACAACCTTTTTCAAGGCTTTCTGCTGAAACAGTTTTCAAAGACGAGGTATATCCAATTTTCAACCTAAGGCATATTTCAAAGGTAACCTTTTGTTCTTTAAGTTATAGAGATTTACAAATAACATCATTCTTTTCAAGATGAATACACAACCTTTTCCAAAATAATGAGCTTTCAAATAAGACATAACATTTTCATAAAATCTCACTTAGAAACTTTAAACTACTAATTAACTAGAATATAGATATGTTTTTCCCTGAACCTAGCATAAGTTTAAGGAGTTGCCTCAAGTAGATTTTAAGGGATACCAAACATCTTCCCCTTAGAATAACTAGAGCCCTTATCCAAATCTCACCGATTAGCAGACCATTAAGATAATAACTTTCACAGACTTATAGATACCCTAATATACTTTAAAATATTAGGTGGCGACTCTAGAAGAACCATTAGTTGTATTTTGTTTTGACCTATGCAAAATAGGGTGCAACAATATTTTATTTTAGACCATATTTGTAGTATTCTAGTCGCTCAAGTACTTGTGACTCCGAATTTCTGGAATTAGTATAGACTGTGTTACTCATGTAATTATTTCATGTATTTAAGAGTTTATTTGTCATTAATTACTATTATTCGAATTATAAATTCTTAAAACTAGTTAATTCTTTATCTAGCATTGGCTTGCTTAACAAGTGGATGTTAGGCACCATCATGGCCCCGTGGTTGGGATTTTGGACCGTGACAAGTTGGTATCAGAGTAATAGGTTTCCTAGGTCTCACGAGTCATGAGCAAACTTAGTAGAGTTTTGAGGATCGGTACGGAGATGTTTGTAAGGCTTTAGAAAATTTCACCTTCTTTCTTTCTCTATTGTACAACTTTATTCTATCATTGAGTTTCAATCATTCTATTCTTGTTCTTTCACAGATGGTAAGGACACGGACATCATCCATAACTGATCAGGAACTGGAGCCCCAGGTTGCAACCACTAGCAGGGATAGAGGTCGGGGCTGAGGCAGAGGTAGAGTCAGCCTAAAACACGCACAACAACACCTGTTGCAGAGCCTCAGATCGAGCAAGATGAGGAGGTACCTATTAAGACCGTGCCAGTTGGACCAACTGAGGTCCTATAGGGGTTCATTGCTACCCTAATACTCAGGACGCCTTACTCCGCCTGGTGGGTCTTATGGAGAGCGTGGCCTAGGCCGGTGTATTTCTTATACCACCAGCTGTCTATTAGGCTGGGGGAGGAGCCCAGACTCCCACTAATCATACTCCAAAGTAGATGGATCATAGATATCAAACTCTGACATTTTCGGCAGTTGGAGAAGTTCATCCTGTTATTGCTACACAGTCCGGGGAGGGACCTGCGATGTCGTTCGAAGGGTTGAAGAGGTTGGATAGGTTCACCAACGTATTTCCTATTCTCTTTGGTGGCACACCTTTTGAGGAACCCCAGGATTTCTTGGATAATTTTCATGAGGTATTGCACAACATGGGTATAGTGGAGTCCAATGGAGTTGACTTCGCAGTGTTTCAGATGCACGATTTTGCCAAGAGGTGGTGGCAGGATTATGTTCAGGGCAGGCCAGGAGGTTCACCTCCACTCACTTGGGATCAATTCTCTCAACTTTCTTGTAAAAGTTTAACCCATTTACTTAGATAGAGGATTTCCGCAATCATTTTGAGTGCCTCCAACAGGTTAGCGTGATTGTTACCCAGTATGAGACCAGATTTGTGGATCTGGCATGCCATAGAGCTATCATGGTCCCTACTAAGAGGGAGAGGGTGATGAGATTTATATATGCCCTTACTTATGGCATCAGCAAATAGATGGCCAGAGAGACTGAGGATAATATTTCATACACTCGAGTTGTGGAGATCACTAGGCGAATTGAGAGGATTCGTGGTCAGGGTAGGGAGGCAGCACCTGAGAAAAGGCCTCGTTATTTTAGTGGTTTTAGTGGTGCCTCGTCTAGAGGCAGAGGTTTATTTGGTAGAGGCCATCCTATCAAGTCCATTCAGTCAGAACTCCAGGTGTCTCCTAGTCCTTCAGGTGGTCACGCCGTGTATGGATCTCGTTTCGAGCAGCCTGTTTTTAGCACACCTTCAGCTTCTATTAGTGCACCACCGCTACAGAGTTACTATGAGGGTCATTCGGGTCATCAGAGATTGTCTCAGACTCAGCAATTATGCCAGCTGCGGGGTTGCTTTGAGTGTGGCGACACATGTCATGTCAGGAGGTACTGTCCTAAATTGAGGAGAAGTAGACCACAACAGGGTACTCATGCCATGATTCCAAAACTAGCTGCTCTACCGCCCACTCAGCTAGCTATAGACATGGGTCAGGGCACCAGAGGTGGAGGTTAGGTCATTAGAGATGGAGGCCAGCTAGGGAGAGGTCGTCCGAGAGGTAGAGGTCAGATTGGTAGTGCTCAGCCCCGTTGCTATGCATTCCCAGTTAGACCTGAGGCAGAGTCATTTGATGCGGTCATAACAATTTTAAAGAATTAACTAATTTTAACAATTATAGTTGTTCATCAAAGTATGAACAACTACCGTTCGAAAATATTTCATTACATGATGCCATTCTTTTAAAAACTAAGAAAATAAACAAAAAAAGCAACAAGAAAAAAAACAAAAATAAATATACCCAACTATGAGTCGGGGTCAAATCCCATTGAGAATAATATGTAGGCGATTAGGCAATATAAGAGAATTATCGCTTATTATGCTAAGCTAAATACTTAAAAGGTGATTGTGAAAATATTTATGTCTAAATGTGTAAATGTAATCTAACCTAGAAAGCGATCAATGGTTACAAGTATGGATACAAGAAAAATTACACTCAAGTAACGATCCAATGTATTTCACGATTTTATAAATATGAGCGAGTTTATGTTAATTAGCCTCGGGTAATAATTCTATATTAGCTTCTTCTGAAGACTAACAAGACTTCCTAATTAAATTATCCCTAAATAATTAATAGATTTAGCACACCCGGACATGGCTACAAGTAGTTCGNTTGGATAAGAATGACTCTAAACCTCCCTAAGCACTACAATTTGCAACAATTAAAACACACTTCCTTTAGAAAAATTTCCATCCTTTCCTCACTTTTCATTCCACACCTAATCTTCCCTTTATTCACACATGGTTCCACTTTGTTTTTTGTTACCTTTCTCCTTTTAAGCAACTTCCACATCACAACTTTTCTAACCTCCACCCCCAAACTTAGGATTTTAGCCTATGTTTACACTTTCAACGTACTTAGGGAGGTAGGATGCCAAAAGATAGATCAATAAAGAACGAAGGGTTAAATCTTGTAACATGGTTGCCAAATAAAAAGTTTAAAGGCTCAAAAGGGGTTGACTAGGGAAAATATGCAAGTGTAGGAAATGTAAGGCACAATAACGGTCCAAGGAAGACCTAACATCATTTTTCAAACCAAGTAAGTCTAGAATTTCGCCTTGAAACACATTTTGGGAAAGTTCTAGACTACAAATAATGCAAACGAACTCACAACAAATCTCACCAACATGGCACATGCAAACTTGAGTGAAATTTAAATCCAAAATCCAACTAAACCTGTCACGACCCAAAACCTAACCTGTCGTGATGGCGCCTATCGTGATACCAGGCAAGATGACATTTCTAAAATACTTTCAAAGTTTAATAGAAATGAATTAAGACATTTAAAATAACCGGAGTTTTTCGTAAAAACAGGGGTAAAACCCAAAAACATAAATGCGGAAAAAAATAGCCCGACATCGGGATGTCACTGAGTCATGAGCATCTAGATATCCAGTCTAATAAAACCAGTGTCTAAGTATCAATACAAAAAAGAAAGAAAATATAAAAGGAGAGACAACGTCTGGGGACGCCGGCAGCTACCTCGTAGTCTCTGGTACTCGATCGCGCACGAACTCAACGACCTTCGTGATCAAACACACCTGGATCTGCACATGAAGTGCTGGGTGCAGCATGAGTACAACCACCTCAGCAAGTAACAGAAATAAATAAGGAACTGAGAAGGTAGTGGCGAGCTATACAAATACAGTTCATTTTCAATAATTCCAGCAAAGAATAGACATGCTTTCAAATCCGACAGTTCAAATCAAATCAGTTTTATACAGTTAAATTGCAGGTAAATCCGAATATATAATCTTTCAAAAATTTCACGACAATGACAGATAGCAACTAAGTGCATCAACAAATGAAAAAGCAAGTACAGCCTCCCAGGGCAACATTCACTCAACTCGTCACAACTGCTCAATCACTCAGCTCTCAGCCCTCAGTACTCACACTGAATAGGTACCTGCGCTCACTGGGGGTGTGCAGACTCCAGAGGGGCTCCTTCAGCCCAAGCGCTATATCGCTGCGGCGTGAAGCCCGATCCCATAATATGTAAACAGCTAAAAGACTCGTTACGGCATGCAACCCGATCCATATATATATACAACCTTAAGGCTCGTTGCGGCGTGCAACCCGATCCATATACATACAAACCTAAGGCTCGTTGTGGCATGCAACCCGATCCATATATATACATATAGCTCACAGCTCGACACTCAGGCCCTAACTCAGTCATCAACCTCTCCAATCTCTCGGGCTCTTAGAAATCATAAAGATCAGCCCAAACAAAAATAACATATTGTATCAACAAGAATCAAGAAGAGACGAAGATATGGTACGCAAGTAAAACCATGACTGAGTACAAGACAACAATTAACAAATAATTCAACAAGTACGCGACCTCTGCGGGTCCCAACAATAACATCACATAGCCTAAGCATGATTTCTAACATGATTTGCAGTCAAATTTCTATAACACATGGAGAGAGTATAGCTAACAACAAGTTATTCAACTTTACAGTTCCACGGAACGGACCAAGTCCCAATTCCTACGGTGCAAGCCCACACGCCCGTCACCTAGCATGTGCGTCACCTCCAAATCAATCACATAACGCAAAATCCGGAGTTTCATACTATCACGACCCAAAATCCAACTAGTCGTGATGGAACCTAACCCATCCCATTAGGTCCGCCAATTACCAACTAACCAATTTCAATGATAATTATTAAAGCAATTTAAGTAAATAAAGATCCTGATCTTATACAATCCCCAAGAACTGGTAGTACAAATCATGAGCTTCTAAGAATAGAGTATATAAAACGAAAATGAAATAAATACATAGTCTGTTTGAATAATACATAAACAGAGCTTTTATAAAATCTAAGGCTACCTTGCACAAGAGGCAGCTACAACAGGAACGTAGGTACAACTTCAAGTCCCGCAACCATCGAGCACAGCAACAACAATAGCCAACATCTGCACGAAATGTGCAGAAGTGTAGTATCAGTACAACCGACCCCATGTACTGAGTAAGTAACAAACCTAGCCGTAGGTTGAAAGTAGTGACGAGCTTCCACCAAGGTCAGGTCCAAACCAATAGTCCACAACAGTCCATAACAACAATAAGCAAATAATACCAGAAGTAACTCAGAGATAAAATGCTCAGCCAAATCATTATTTCAAAAATAATAGGTCTTCCTTTCAAATCCATCAGTGAAAACTCAAATCTTTTGTCGAAGTTGACAATAATATGAATAGTTTGAAAATCAATAAATTTCTCCAAAAATATTATCAATAATAAACAATATGTTTCATTTTCCTTCCAGATAACCCGTGTAAAACAAATGCATCACTATGCCCATCTGTTAAAATGTGTGAGAAATCATGAATAATGTGATACCGTACATCATGAGGAAAATACATCTCTATGCATATATGTCATGTGTGCATGTCAATGCAATGTATCTCAGAGAATGTACTCATGTACTCACACTCTCAGAGTACTCAATCTCACTGTGTCGCATTCTCTCTCACTGTGCTCAGCACACTCAATCACTCAACGCTATACAATACCTGATGCGGCTGCAGTCGGATCCCTGTTTATAGTCGATTGCGCTCACTAGAGGTGTACAGACTCATGAGGGGCTCCTACAGCCCAAGTGCTATAAGCACAGACAACTCACGTGATGCACGGACAACTCACGTGCCATAATATAATTATCTGGATCCGTACGGCCAACTCATGTACAATAATAATATAAGGATCCACACGACCAACTCACGTGCTGCACGGCCAACTCACGTGCAATAATAATATAAGGATCCGCACGGCCAACTCACGTGCTACACGACCAACTCACGTGCAATAATAATATAAGGATCCGCACGGCCAACTCACGTGCTACACGACCAACTCACGTGCAATAATAATATATATAAAGCCAACATGGCCTGCTGCGGCATGCAGCCCGATCCCAAAAATATCCTCACAATCAGGCCCTCGGCCTCCCTCAGTCATCGATCTCTCCAGTCTCTCTTTCATGGTCTCACAATGTCATGAGAATAGCCCAAAATGATGATATGATGTATCACTAAATAACAACAGAGACTGAGATATGATATGCAATGAAATGAATATGACTGAGTATGAATTTTCAACTTAAAATAAATATTTCACAACAATATGACCTCTGTGGTCCCCAATAATACTGGCACATAACCTAAACATGATTTTTAATATGCTTTTCAGCTCAATTTCTTTAACTCATAAAACTGCATGGAAAATACCAAGATTATTTAACTACAAAATTTCACAGAAATAATCATGTCATAATTTCTATGGTGCAAGCCCACATGCCCGTCACCTAGCATGTGCGTCACCTCCCAACGATTTACGAAATACATATATTCAGGGTTCATACCCTCAATTCCAAGATTAGAAGAGTTACTTACCTCGAACAGGCCAAATCCAATGTCGAGCAAGCTAAGCAATGCTCCAAAAATTCCATACTGCGCGTAACAACTTCCAAACGGCTCGAATTTAGTCACAATAATTTGACTCCATACACACAATTTATAAGAATTAATTCCATAACAAAACGCTAATATTTTCCGTAAAATCCGAAATTACGCCCCAAAAGTCACCCATGGGGCCCACATCTCGAAATCTGACGAAACTCACAAAATACGACAACCCATCCAATTACAAGTTCAACCATACTAATTTCACTCAAATCTGACTCCAAATCGGTATTCAAACTTTAAAAATCCATTTTGTGGCATTATAGAAATTTTCTTCTATTTCTCTTGAAGATTCAATAATCTTATACCAGAAATGAAGATTAATTCATGGAATATAATCACAAGGGAGTTAAGAACACTTACCCCAAGGTGTGTGGAAACTTTCCTCTCCAAAATCGCCCAACCCGAGCTCCAATATCCGAAAATGGGTGAAAATGTTAAACCCTCGAATTTAAGGTTCTGTCCCGGCGATTTCCGCATCTGCGGACAATATTTGCGCACCTGCGCATCCGCTTGTGCAAGAAAAACGTCGCATGTGTGGACTTCAGTTTCCTGTCCAGTTTGCGTATCTGCGAGGAAACCATCGCATTTGCGAGGCACCGCAGATGCGAAGCTCCTCAGCTTCCAGCCATCTCCCTTCTGCGCGCAATCTTCCGCATCTGCGCTCACGCAGGTGCGGAATTTCCCTCGC